ACACACACACACACACACACACACACACACACACACACACACACACACACACACACACACACACACACACTTGCTCCAGAGGCATACACCAACAGTATGCAGTACATTCATTCTATGATCACACTGGGGAACTTCAGTCCCTCTTAGAGAAGGGAACTACCAGAGAAGTGTTTTGGAAATTGTGGACCACAATCCTTTGTAAATTATGGAATTATTTTAGTGGGCTGCAACTAGCATTGATTAAAAATGGAAAACTCAATAAAACAGAATAGAAAATACCAGGATGAACTTCACACAATAAGTATTATTTTGGAAAACATATTTCATATATATATATATGTGTGTGTGTATGCTGATTATGATGTAACATGCATTTCTTATTGCCGTCATGGTCAATAGTTCAAAAGACACTGTTTTAGAAGACTCTAGCTCCACAGCGACGTCTGAAGCCATAGTCATGTGATGTTCTTCCAAATCTCTGGGGCTGATATCCTAGACAGTCTTTTCTAGGGTAGTCCTAAATTTTTCTTGCAAATCTGAACTACTAAGCACCTTGCACAAGGTTACAAAGATAACAGATGAAGGAGCAAGGATTTTAATATAAACTTGTGAATGCTGAGGTGAGCAGAGGTATTTCCTGTCAAAATACCAGGAAACAGCACTGAGGCTGTGGGAGTATCTTTGAATCTGCAGGCTTCTCAGTACCATGTTTTTCAAGTACTGTGAAACTAATTAGCCACACTCTATTTCTATTTAAATCATAATAAAAGGTTTGAATGTTGTAAAATAAATAAAACATCCATAATAAGCATTTATCTCTTCAGTATAATTACAATTTCTCCAGTCTGTAAAAAAAGTTCCCTGCATTTGTGGTTAATAAGTGCCATTTGATCACTTTCACAGTGGACGATTCCATCCACTTTAAGACGTAGTCTAAACTTCAATATAAACCCAAAATAAATATTCTTAATTTCTGTGTAATTACTTAATCTGTTCATATGTGTGTTATCAACGTAGTAAAAAATTAAACAACTATTTATGGCAATTAAAATTTACTTAATTGAAATTTCCAACCTACAGTTTCAATTAAGAAAGCTTTTCGTCACCTCTCCTTTTGTCCACTGTACAGTGACTGCCACTGTTTATTTCAGGTGTGGTGATATGTCAGTCACGAGCTTATAGTTCTTTTGGAACATGTAAAACTTTGTATAAAAAGGTTCTGAATGGGGAGTGGGGGGCACTCACTATTATGACAAAAATCTAACATCTTATAAAATTCCTCAACCCCCTTAAGGAGGAAGAGAAATGTTATAAAGTATTGTTGTTAAAATAAAACAGAAGACAGGAAGAAAAAGAACAAAAAGAGTTAAAAAGCATTAATCACAGTAAATAGGTACATGTAAAATAGCAACATATATGTTCATTAAATATATAATAGCTTCTTTCTAGTCTTGTGAAGAAAATAGCCCCTTGAGGATGGGCATAATTGATGTCAAAGTAGAATACAAATACCCTAGGTAAAAAGAAGGGAAGAGGAAAAAGAGCTAGGGAAATGAAGGCAAATAATTTATCAGGTGACAGAAAGAGTGTCTTGATGGGGTTGCTTTGAGATATAAAGTTAGGATATTTGCAAAAAGTCAGAGGATACCAGCGCCAAGATGTGTATATACATGCATGCGTACACGTACACAAACATATAAATAATATACAGATATATAATATAAATATACATCTTTATGTAGACATTTTTCTGGGTGTTTATATTGGAAAAGTGAAATACAGCATTCTCTAATCTCTTAAATTCCATTTTTAATTCAGAGCCAATTGATTTGACAGTGTTTGTTAGCTCAAAGTGCAAACTCTTGAAGGTTTAGAGAAAGGGCAACCAGAGGAAAGGTCAATAAATTATAATCCTTTAATGTGTTTTGTATTTAAAAGCTTTTATAATAAAATTAATTTAGTATTCCAAACTCCACATACGAGCTGCATGAAGAAAACTTACTATACCCAAGGTAACAGGAGTAGAAGAGATGACACACTGAATTATAATCTATTTGCAGACTAAAAATAAAACTCAGTACACACTTGCAGCAGGGAAAGGCAGTAAAGCCTAGCCATCAGATCAGAAGTCAGAAAGTCATTATTCCGGTAACAAAAATGTGAAGTTCCATCCTTTCAAATAAATTAATAAAAAATACTCATGCAAAGATGATATCTGTAATTTCAAAAGCCTTTCCTTCTCCCATATAAACTGGACCCAAGCATGGGTAAAAATAAATTTATGGAAAAGGGATTTAAAAGAAAAACATAATTCTTTCTCTTACCACTGTCACCAGAAGGTAATGATACAGTGTTTGTTGGCATGGTATCAGAATTCACTTTTCCATTCTCAAATGTGTCATTTTCAGTCTGCTGTAACTGCCAGTTGAGCCCAAATAGATGCATTGCTGGGGGTAAAGAATACAAGTTGTTTAAAGGTCTGCTGCTTTTAGCTACAATAGCAAATGGTAAAAATGTTTATAACAAGAATCACATGTAAAATTAAAATTTCCATTTTCTGAAATACCAAGTACAATTGTGCAATAAAAATGATAAAACAAAGAGTTCCTCAAACAAATACAATTGACATAGCAATGCAGTGCAGTATGGCAGCACTTTAATAATGATTTGATATTACTCAGTTAATTGGTAGCAGGAAACTTAGAGATAAATCATTATTTGCTCTAGTTTGTCCAAGTTCCATTTTTCAACATTGTGTAAGTAAGTGGTAGAATGTTCTGTGGTAGCTTTTGCCAAACTTATTTGACTGCAGGTCACTTGCAAATTTATAATACTCTGTTGCAACACCTATAGGTTCTCAAGAGACATGATGTTATACATTTGGATTAAGGTAGAAAGCAAAAAACTGGTCTCACAGATAAATTTGTTGGTATATGAAATGATCAGAATGAATTCAGATATACAAAATGTAATAAAATTTGAATATTCTAAATTTAGGATGAGTAATTTTTGAATTTATGACATACAATTCAGTAATGGCACAGATCAAACAACATGCATATGTGTAAGGTAATTTCATGTGAGTTTCTGATGTGGGTATGATAATAATTTTATAAATGTATAAATAGTTTATAAATTTATTAAAATTTTATAAATCTGTTCACTAATCTTTAAAATATTTAAAAAAATCTAGAAGAACATATAAATAATTATAAATTTTAAATTATGAATGTAATTTAAAATTTTAATATATTGTTTATTATTTTTCTTAATTTATCTAAAATGTTTAAAAGAATATGTCACTGTTATATTAACCATTAATACTTACTGAACATTCGTTTGTGTGTCATTGAATAAAGCTTAGGTATTAATCCCTAACAAAGGTCAAATATCCACAGGGAAACTCAGTGATGGTCATATACTATATCACAACAGAAATTTTTTGATGTTTTTTGACATTATTTTACTCACTATACCTACTAGAATTTGCCAGAGAGATGGAGAAAGATAAAAGTGTTTGAAAAGCATCGTTCAAGGCAGTGTGATAACTACCACTGTCAAAAAGCCCTTATTTATATCTGATATATGTAGTAACAACATTAAATTGGCACAGTGTAAAGAGCAGGGGCTTTGGAAACAGATTTTGGTTCAATCCTTAGTCTAGGATTTAGCCTTGGATAAATTATTTAATAGCGTTAAATATTAGGTTTACTTTAAAAATGAGGCTTGTTAAAACTACCTTATTTAATTGATATGAAGGTTCTAGACAGAGTATGGAAAGGATAGCTGACACATAGCAGGACAGTTCTTACTACACAACCTTTTCATTGATTTATTCTAGACTTCAGATTACTGAACTATTTGCACCAGACCATGGCACCTCTCGATAAATAGCCCCTTTTGTCTGCAATGCTCCCCACCCACTATCAAACACCTATTCATCACACAGGTGGTAGATGTCAACCTTTTGGGGAAGCCTACCTTCACTGGTGCTTGTGTCTTTCCTAAGATTGTTATAGTTCACTTTTTTATCTCATTTATAGGATATAAATTATGTATAAGGATACGGTGCCTGATACCTAGTAGGTATAAATAAGCATCTGTCAAATAAATGAATTAAAGTTAGGAATACTATTTTCTAAAACTTTAAAATCTAAGAAGACACTGCTGTGGATAAAAATATAGTAATTTAAAGAAAAAGTTAATAAATATAAAACAAATACATATATAGCTAGGAATGAAGAGCATATTAACTAAGAATTAATGACTGCTTTAGTGTAATGCTGTATGAAAAATAGTTGAATGAAAGTTCCACTATTACTCTATATAATTGACTGAATTAAAAAAAAAATTCAACGGTTTTAGGACGTTCTATTATCAGTCCCACATTCCTTTGTTAACAATACCTGACATAACAGCACACTACAGTAAGAAGGATACCACGCACAGGCAGATAGCTACTTCTACCCTGTATTTTATAACAAATGTATATACTCATACTCTTTGCTTAAATCACATTCTGCCTGCAATTCCTCTTAAACTCCTGATTTTCACAGATTAAGAAATAGGTTATAGAATTCTTGAATTTACAGTTGTTATCTTGTTAAGAGGTATAACTTCATATGTCATTTTGCATTAAATTACATAGTGTTTGAGTGGCAAAATGTCAGGAGCTTTCTAAACATTTATTACTTCAAACGTTTTTCAGAGTTTCAGGTACTTCAGCAATTTTTGAACAAAACAATGGGAGCTAGTTCTGCATACCGTGAAAGGTTTGACAGACACACTTTGGCATAGCAACAATAAATATTCCAAAAAGGTCAAAGTTTCCATGCAAAATGACTTATCATCATTGTGATCTTTTAACATCAAGTCTTCTTGAATGATAGATTTGCTCATATTATTGGTTTTAATAGACTTTGAAGAGTAGAGATAATCCATGGGATCGTGCACAGATGTCAAATGTTAAAAAGCAATGTGATGTTTTTGTTGGGAGAGCTATTTTATTTTTCTCCAGATGGGCAGCAGCTTATTATATGTTTTTTTTTTTTAAATTGCAGAAAATATCAATAAAATGGGATTCTGGTTCTATTTAAGATGCTAAACAATGAGAATCATACCCAATAATATATCTTGTTTAATACTGCAATGGAAACAGAAATGAACAAGTTGTTTGGTCTTAGGATATTCTCTACTTTGAAATTGTTGATGATCGATATTTAGTGAAGCTCTTGACACTCATTACATATAACTTAAGATTTTTATACAAATGCAGGGTGTTAGTGGAATTGACTCTGCAAAGTTAAAGAGCATGAAAGAGGTTAAAGAAGTGGGGGCAACAAACTCATACATGTCAAGAATGCTACAGAAATTACTGAGCAGTGGTATAAAAGTACATGGGATATCTTGGAAGATAAATAAAGAAAAAATTAGCTAAATAGAATACGTGTGTAAAAAAAATAAAAGGATAAGTCCAATTCTTCAATGCCTGAGCTGCAAAGCAGATTCGACCCCTTGAAAAGGCACTGGCTACCACTGTTCATGTGTACAGTGGATCCTTGGTTTACACCTGTCCCAGTGGAGGGTGTAGAAAGTGTGGCCAGGAGCTCCGTGCTCCTGAGTCCTGCACCCCTCTGGGGATGTAGCTTAGGTGAGGAGGTACAGGTTACCAGCGATATTAGATGTTCTCAGCCACAGTTCTCAGGAACCTCGTGCTGGTGTTTGAATATCATTTTTTTTTTTCAAACATTCTTTGAACAAACACTTACTATGTGTCAGGTACTATGCTAGTGCTTCCCCAGCATTATCTCATTTAATCTTCACAAAGCCTTTGTTGAAAGTTAATATTATTATTTTTTCTTTTTAAATCTGAGAAAATGGAGACTTTTTGATAGTTGAAGGTTCCAAGCCAGTAGGCAGTGGATGAGACCTTCTGATGATAAAAGGCATACCACTACACACCCCCCTATTCTACCAAAGGTTAGTGGAGTGTGGAAATCCACACAGAAGTAAGTGAAATGTAACTTCTCTGATGGCTGTAGGCTGCAGATAATGCTTCTCTACTACATCTAGGAAACTAATGGCAGAGACAATATTGGGGACGGGGGGTGGTGGGCAGGTAAGATTTGTGTGTGCCAGGCACTATTCTTCTATACAAGTGCTTTTCCACTCTTCTGTCTTACAATACAATTTTACAGTAATATTACAATGGTGATAAGATTAAGAACAGGCTATTTTTGGATAACTCCAAAATTCTTAAAAACGACAATTTAAAAATTACATAAGCATTACACTTGTGGATTTTAAAGTTATAGAAATAATATTCATGTAGGTTTACTCTTTAAAAAATTTTGTTTCTGATATCATATTTCATAGTTTTATATTGTCATTTCCACATATTTCTAGGTGATTTTAGCGAGGGGGAACTGGATTCATATCCAAAATGTTATCTAAGGCAGAATGGAATTTGTAGATGAAAGCAATAATATATTTCTGTTCAATGTGTTTTTGACATTTTAAAATATGTTGATGTCTATCATTGTCTAATAATGTAATGTGTGACAGGGATCATTATCCCTGTTGTAAGGGGATGAAATGTAGGCAGAGAGAGTGTCAGTGACTTACCCAATGCCTTTTAAAAAGTTCATGTATAAAAGAAGACTCATGATACCAGACCTCCTGACCCTACTTCACCATTCCTTTCTTGTGCAGATTTCCCACTCATCTGAATTGTTATGAATTTAAAATGTGCATCTATGTAAAAGAAATTTTAAAATTCTAACACAAATTGTTAATTTATCTATTTTTTTTTTTTACAATGGCAAATATACTCAGAAGTTGTCCATTTGTTAAATCTGGCTTCTAAATACAAGATTTTTACCAACTACAAATGGTTGTATTTTGCAAGATCATTTGTAAGGTAGTTGTTTAAAACTGGAATGTATTTTCTCATATTACAGATCTTATAAATGGTGGTTAAGGCCCCAGTTGGTCTGCAAAAGTCTGTCTAAATATCCAATAGAAATGTGTATACACATAGCACCAAAAGGCATGAAGCAGAATTATTCATAATAGCCCCAAACTGAAAACAACCCAGATGTCTGCCAGCAGTAGAATGGATAAATTACACTATAGACATACAACAGAATTCTATACAGCAACGTAAATGAATGAACCATTGCCAAATACAACTATACGGATGAATCTCTTTTGCTATGGAACAAAAGAACCCAGTCACACACAAAAAAGTGAATACTTTATAAGTCCTCACGTATAAAGTTCAAAGGCAGGTAAAATCAACTGGGAGGAATAGAAGTCACCACCGTGCATACCTTCAGGGAGGAAGGGACAGGTAATGACTGAGAGAGTCCACAGAGGGCTTCTGGAGTGCTGGTAATATTCTATCTGGGAGGTGGCTCCACTTACAATTTGCATACTTTTCTAAATG